GAAATTACGAATATCTATAAAATCCGTGAAGAAGTTTTCAAAGCATGACATTTTTAAAAAAATTGATTTTTTTGAAAGAGAGAACATTTTCTTATTTTTTACTTTAATGTAACATTTTTAACTTATGGAATTATAAAAAATTATAATAGAAGCGAACAAATATTAGAAGTTCTAAAATTTTATGGATATTATGAACAACATTTCAAAACAGGAACATTTTAAAAAATCAACAAAATCTAAAAAGTGTAAACTATTTAATTTTCTGAATCATTTGATGAAAAGAGAAATATATGAAAGAAAATAAAAATTGACGAAAAGAAAAGAAAAGGAGAAACAGAAAAAAGGAAAAAAAGAAAAAGAAAGGAAAAAAGAAAAAGAAAAAAGTGAGAAAGTAAAAAAAGAAACAGAAAAAGAAGGAAAAATAGAGAAACGAAAAAAACTGAATAAAAACCCGGTTCAGGATCCTTTTAGAAGGTTCCCAAAACCGGAAAAATCCAGCTGAAACCTTCTGGAACATTCCCAAAACCGGGATCAATGGAAGACACGTCTTGCTTCTAAATGGCTCGGCCTATCTCAGTCGATGCTTCTGCGACACATCGACATTTTGATGCAAAATGTGTCAAATAGGAAATCTGAGTGTCTGGTTGGGTGCCTCTGTGTTTGAAGTGTGTGGATCAGTGGGACTAACGAGCCAGCCCATCATAGGGTTTGGGCTTGTCTTTGACTGGGCTATACCCTGGGCCTATATAATAATGTATACAGATAGTAACTATGGAAAAATTCCACGCCCCGGGCCTGGGCCCTGGGTACCTGGGGCCCAGCTCCGCCGCGGCCATGCAAGTCCAAAGACAGTGACCAACAACCAAACAAAACTACAAAGCAAAAGTGTATGGCCATATCGTTTACAATTTGGCTCTAGATTTTACTAGTGTTGTCTTTGCCTTTTGTTCTAGAGAAGCTAATGAGGTAGCAAAAAGTTTAGCTACGCATTCTTATTGTACTAGACCATGTTCAAGAATTCATCCGATTAACCAGTTAACTTGCCGATTAATCCCTACTCATAGGGTCACCGAGTAGCCGGTAAACCGAAAGATCGTCCGATTAATTGATTAAATGGCCAATTAACTTGCCGATTAGCCGATTAATCCCCTACTCGCTAGCCAACCGACCAGCTATCAGTTAACGATTTCCTCAACAATGCTACTAGATCTTCCTACTCTTCGGATACTATTGGTGACCTTATTCTCTTGGACATTGTAAGCGATATGGCTACCATTGAGGAATAAAGTCTCTTATTTTCAAAAAAGAAAGTTGCCATGGCAATGTCGGGGGCATTAGAGTCCCAAGACTCAGATAAGCTAACACTAAAACAATGTTTTGATAGACTTTATTTTGCCTCAAATTATAAACGAGATGGCCATTGTTTGAGAAATAAAGTTTTGATGACAATAGAAAATTGCCATCCAATGTTACAAAACTTGTCATGACCGAAAGTGAAAATTGCCATGTAGCACACACAAATACCAATGATTTTTTTACAACGATTGCCATTTGCATGATTTGGACCCAATGATTGTGGAGGCGTTTTCAAGACCTCCTAATCAGAGAATGTTCTCGAGTTATCATTTCTCTACAAAATAAATCCCATCGCCTGCCCTCCTGTAGATCCATTGTTGCTTTGACATCCAATCAAATTTTCATGTGGAAACAACAAACATTGTGGTCTCATAGCATAGATTTTGTTCCAGTCTCCCAAAAAATCACAATATGTGTTGTTTTCTCATGAAAATTTGCACGCGTGTTGGAGACATGAACATATTTAGTATATATAATATTATTTTTAGCCCATACCAAAAAAGTTGGATATATTTTCTCATTTTACTATTCACCTGGTGAAGCCAAAATGATGTCGTGTCAATTAACTTATCAACTTAAATTACAGTTATTTCCAAAAAATAAAGCGGCAGTTACATCATAAACTAACAATGGCAATTTTTTGGGGGAAATCAAAAATCAAATTAGGGGGGCATGCAGCCACAACTCTTGTCCATTGGAACTAACTCTTGCGCAACCGGTTTGATTCATGATTGCCTTTATTCAAATATAACCCTGCCAAAATCATGATTCACCTCTCAGTAGTCTTCAAATTACGGAGCATGCGCCGTGGAATGGCATTGCCACTATTCATTGTCTCCAGTCCTCTTCCACACTAACCATTTGGCTGTACTCATGTGTCAGTGAAGGCGACAAGTATCCTACGGACCGATGTTTGTCCTCCCATTTGATTCCTTTATTATGGAGAACACTTATTGTTGGCTAGGTGCAATACGCGCAAGCTCTTAAAAAGTAACTTTTCTTTTTTTTTTTTGGGGGGGGGGGTCATCTTCCAAAAGGGAGACATTGTCTTCTAGAAGCACCATCCTCTAAGACCGATGTATGAACAAGGGCCAGATGATTACTACTATGTCAAGAATACCTACATTTAGGTAGAGCTGATGAAGTAGGCGAATGTTCCTATTCTCACATAATTGAAAATTCATGGCTGCTTCACCACCTTCTGTGCGGATGTAGGTTCGTGAGTTTTCTCGAAGTACTCACTTACAATGAGTTTGGTAGATAGTATGTTTCTACTTTTTCTATATGTCAAGTGGGTATGATTCCCATGTTACTTTTTGATCGAAAAGAGGAACCACACAGAATATCTTTAGTTGACTAGAACAACGCCCATGCGTCGCAACGGGATATAAATATTGTATTACGTTAGCTTGTGTTTACCTGCCCATATTATGCCATTGTGTAAATAAATGCTCATTAAATTATGTCCATGATTTACATTATATTTTGATCAGAAGTGATTTACCTGTCCATGATATGCGATTGTGTAAATAAATGTTAATCAAATTCTACCCATGATTTACCTTATGTTTTGATAAGAAGTTTGGCAAGTAAATTAAAGTAGAATTGATCCAGAAGGTTAAATTAAGGTGATTGCTTATTATACGGGGAAGTTTGGACGAAGGAGTGATGGGAAGAAAGGTGAAATGGAACCTTACATTCTTTTTAAGTAATAGTAGAGACTTTGCAACAACATTGGTGTGAAAACCATGGTACTGCTGACAGAAATAGAGGGCATAGACCTTGAACTTACTTTTTTTGAGAATCAATTCTAATTGGTATTAGGAAACAATTCACCGAAACAAGTTATTTCATACCCACACCCACACTTTGCTTACTTTATTGCTCGTGGGTTGGGTAGAGATGATTAGAGCATCACAAGCACACAAAGCATATGCCTTATCATGGTATGTTCCCGCTCCCGAATCCAAAGTCCGGAGGCATGCCAGCTATCACCTTCTTGACCGACGGCCTTGCCAGCAGCGCCTCCCACCATGCCTTTACGTGCGGATACACATCGAGCACAACCGCATGCTCCGTCGCCATGAAATAGCGCATGAAGGAGAAATGGGTGAGGTCGGCGAAGCTGACGAAATCACCGGCCAAGTACTTGTTGCTTGACAGCCTCGCCTCATACACCTCCAGCAGCTTCTTGAGCTTCTCGACGCTCTCATCGACGAGGCCTTGGTCGACGTCCCTCCCGACGAACGGGTTGATGATGCAGTTAAACACGATGGGCTTGAGTACGGGCTCAAGCTGGTGGGCATCCACGTCGACCCATACGTCCACCATCGCCGACTCCTTGAGGCTGCCCGCTCCTAGAAACTCGGGCTTGCATTTGCGCAGAATATGCCTTGCGATGGCACGGGATTCTGATGAAAAAAAATCACGTAGAGAAATTAGTAACACTCATTTGTTTTTTGTCACGCCCACCAAATTTCTTAATAATTCATAGAAAAACATAGCTACTGAATCAAAACAAAATAGTGTTAAAAAATCAAATAAAATAAAAAAAAACCATGAAGGCTTACGGTAGAGCGTCAGATCGCCGTCCTCCAGCACCGGGATCTCGCCGAAGGGCTGCAGAATTGTTGGACGGGAACAGTGTTAGTAGTAGTAGGTGACCTTGGCCACGCAAACGCAGTTGATCATCTCTCTGTTTCTTGCTTCCTATACAGAACTAAAGTAGCAAAGCTGAACCAGATAGGGAGAAGCTAGCAGATCAGACGTACGTTTCTGGCGAGGTGCTCCGGCAGCCGGTGGTCGCCGCCGTTCCTGCTCATGGGCACGAAATCGTACTCGGCGCCGGCCTCCTCCAGGCACACGAGGACCCGCGCCATCCACGGCGACACCGCCCAGCCGTACACCTTCATAGGCGCCATCTCTTCTTCTTCTTCTTCTTCTTCTTCTTCCTCTGTGTTTGCAGTGCACTACTATGGGTCCATTTATGTACTTCATCATCGAGCACTAGTAGTACTGTTGTTTATTTAGCACGCCGGCAGTCCAAATCCAAAACAATATTCTAGGTAGGAGTATTGGGGTTCTCTGTATGCAGTCAAACTTCTGTTTTTTAGGCGACGCCGATCGTCACTGCTTGCGTGCGCAATGCAGTCCATTGGTTGGTAGGTGAGCAAAATTGGTCCATCGTGCCAAGTAAATCTATTCGAGGAAGCCAGCCACGTGAACAAGCCGAAGCACTTGTTTTTTTTTTTGAAATTAATAATAGGAAACTGCCATTTTTATTTGGGCCGGGATCAGGAGTAGGATTTTTGGGTCGGGCTTATGCCCATCCATGGAAAAATTGAGTAACTCATAGCCTTTTTTACAATAATGTAACTGACGTTTCTAGAAGAAAAAAAAACAAGATGTAACTGGCAGTTAATATCCTAATAACTAGCCTAAATAAATGAAACAAGCATTAGCATTTGATAAAAATATCCTAGATATAGCTGTAACCTGTAAATAGTTGTGCTCATCCTCAGAGTGCCTCTGCCTATAAATAGACATCCTGTAGGCTTTCTTCATATAGTAATAGTATTGTGCGGCGTTAACAAAATTACCCGAGCTTAGCATCTCTCTCCATCCACATACAACCAGCAAGATCCATGAGGCCACCGGCGGCTCTTGTGGTCGTAGCCGCCGTCCTTCTCGTGTTGTGCGGTGTCGACGCGACCGTGGAAACAACCTGCAAGGCGGCGGCCGACGAGGATGCGCATGTCAACTACAACTTCTGCGTGTCGGAATTGAGAAAGCACTACCAGAGCTCCGACACAGACACATGGGGCCTGGCCAAGATAGCCGCTAACATGGGCGTCAACAACGCCTATGGTGCCATCCATGACATCGAGCACCTACTAGCGAAGCCGAGCATGGATGCCAAGACGAAGGTCGCCCTTGGGCAATGCCAGGGGCTGTACGACAACATGAAGTTTGCGTTTGCTGGAGCCTACGACGAGATCAACGACCGGAATTACGCCGCGGGGAAAGAGAAGGCCGCAAAGGCCGTCTCCCTGACGCACCAGTGCGATGATGCCTTTGTGAAGGCCGCCGTCCCGTCGCCTCTCAAGCAACATGGCCTCTACTCCGTGCAGACAGCGATAGTTTGCATGGCCATCACTAACCTTATCAAGTGATGAATAGCATCATGGATCCAAATCGTGGGAGAGTTTAGAGGTCGGATCAAACTTGTAGCGATTACTACTCCGAACCTTTGTAAGGTACATGCAAGGAATAAAACATGTTTTCATTAGTTGTGGGTTTATTTACATGCCTAATAGAGTTCTCAATGCATCTTGATTTGCTTTCTGCTCTTTAAAAAAACACGCATTAAACATCGCATACCCTTTCAATGTGCTATATTTATTTTTCTTGTAACGTAACCAAAGAATTGTCTTTATATCCTTTCAATGTGCTATATTTATTTTGCTTGTAACGTAGGCAAAGAATTGTCTTATACCCTTTCAATGTACTACACTTATGTCACTTAAATAAGAAGAGTTGCAATGTACTACACTTATGCCACTTAAATAAGAAGAGTTGAGGAAAGAAGAAGTAAACCCAATAAAGACTGATACAAAAAAATCGCTCTCTCAACATAATGGCACTTAAGTGTTTCCGGCTGCCGGGGACCCAATTTCTGGCGTTGTTCTTGATCTTAAATGTACCATATAATTGCACACACATAAACATTACCAAAATGTCTATTTTTGTAGTGTCGTCCTTCTTGATCTTAAATGTACTACATAATTCTGCATATGAACAGAACCAACATATATTTATATGGTGCTAGTCATCACAATGTTTCATTTTTCATGATAAAACAGAAAATTTTCTTCCTCGTCGAAGGTTTAATTCCAGATTATTCTTGAGTTTTTCTAGATTAGGTTATTCTTGAGATTGAGCATTGACATTTTGGCATGAGAGTAAACTTAGTTCTACTTTTGGGTGGGCTCTCATGCCCTCAAGAACGCTGGGCCAAGAACGATCACCGTCCACGGACGCACCCCAGCCTTTTATTGCATTTGCTTATCGGGCTGGCCCTTGAGGTCCTTTACCGCGCATAATTTTTTTTTGAGAGTACGGTTAGGCGTACCATAGCTTTAGAGAAGGCAGGACCGTAAGTATAAAAAGACTACAACTCACTATGAACAACAAGCATATCACGAACACAACACCCAGGCTCAGTGGTGGAGCCAGAAATAAAGCAAATCCCAGGCCAAAATTTTGTTGGTAACATGGGATTTTTGGCATTATAACAATATCTCATAACATTTCTGGGAAAAAAATACCACATGCAAAAGAAACAAAATAAAGTTAAAATTCTCAAGAAATCTAGAATGTAAACTCAATGCTCAATGGTCCAACATAATAGATAAAACATGACATAAGTACAAATAATAATACGGGGATACAAAAAAGTACCAAATCAATTGGTTACCTCATACTCCCTCCGTCCACGAATAAGTGTACTTCTAGCTTTTGTCTTAAGTCAAAGTTTTAAAACTTTGACCAACTATGTACAAAAGAGTAATAACATATATAACATCAAATTAGTATATAATGAAAGCACATTTTAAAAATAGACCTAGTGATATTAATTTAGTATCAAGGCCCCCACTATTCGACGTTCGAACCGGCCCCCGCGTCGCTCTCTCCCTGGGGCGACACGGGTGGCGTCCCCAGATCCGGCCAGAGCGGCCTCTCCTTCCCCTCGCCGCTCCCTCCTCGCCGCCGCCGGTGGCCTTTGCCGGGCAAAGCCCGTGCGGAGACGGCGGCGGCGGGGCGTGTTCTTCCGGCGGCCGGTTGGCGCGCGAGCAAGGGGACTCGCCGCGGCTGGCCTTGGCTGGTGGTGACGGCCGGCGTGGCTGCAGAAGGTGCGTGGGGGGCGGATCTGGCCGGC